TATGCAACCGCAATTATATACTTGAAAGTTTGGAAAAAGTGTATCTCTTTACACAGAATGCTTATTTTTGCTGTTGGTTCGCAGTAATCTGATTGGTCTCAAGATTGATCACAATATGACCTATATCAGTTAGAGAACCGCTGGAAGAATTGAGAGTACTGGACAGTTGTTTCGTCCCAGTTTAAGGCTCTTGAATAGTACGCACCCACCGGGGTTCGAACCCAAGACGAGCTCATAGACCACTCCGTCACTGGGACCCGACCCAGTTGCCTCATGAATTCCATCTGTTCTCTTACCTGACTTGGTGGTACCCACTGGTTACAACTTCTTAGTAGAACTCTAGGTAACTTCCTGTATAGAGCCAGTCACTAGTGAGCATCAGATTAATTGTCTAGTTTTTGGTTTGCAGGAATTTTATTGGTTTGCAGATTTGATCATGAACCAGTGAAAATCCAGGGATCAAACGTGTAACTAACTTATTTTTTTGTGATAAGAAAACATAACTTTTTGTGCAAAATTAGTAATCTTATACTTCCCAAAATGAATCTCAATGGATTTTAGTTTTATGTCTCTTCTACTGGTTACCAAATGGCACTGATTTAAGCACTTTATGAGATAATTGTGTATTTATTATTATTATTTTAAATGGTTTGCTTTGCCAAACAAAACGTTTTATTCATTTGCTTTCTAATTATGAGTGGATCACAATTTTCGACCTTGCTGTATTTACTGTAATAGATTATTCGGCTTTATAGGAATGCTTGCTGGGAGTACTTTCATTTTCTATATCTCTGAATCAATAAATAAATGACTGATTATTCTCACTTGAGTCACACGACCGTTTATGAAATTTTTTTTACTGGCTGACGAATAGTCTGTTTACAATATTGTGGTTCAGAAAAAAAAAAGAATAAATGATGCATATATCATTCTAGATTTTTATAATTCAACAAAGTGTGATTATTATTGTTTTATCGATGTCTTTTGTTAAAAATGTTTGTATTATTATTATTACCCCCGTGGGTTCCGAGTGGAACTTAGAGCTTCAACATCACATCACCATTTAGTTCTACTTGGTGCTGTCCTCTTCAGCTGGGTCCTCGATTGCCCATAATCTCTCATCTCCTCCCCTCACGATCTCCTGTGTGTTACCCTCGCAGCGACGACCCACTCGTCGCCTCCCGTCGGGATTCCACTCGAGCACGGGATGTCATTCGTCGGTTTCCTCAATGTGTGCCTTTACCATCTCCATTTTCTCCTACATATTTGTTGAGCAATTGGCCCTTGGTTGGTTTGTTCCCATCCATAGTTTTTTTGTTGCCAATGTTTTCTGGCTGGCCGGCCATTTGATCTCCAGTATGTAGCCGGCTAACGTAGCAGCTGTTGATAAAAGTCTGCAATGGATTGTTGGAAATCGTTTTCGTGACACGCAGTGCAAGTTTCTGACCCATATGGAAGAACTGACTGACTTCACATTAGTGCTGAAAATCTGAATCTTCTACTTTATGCCGTGGATTACAGAAGATTCGCAAACCGATTTCAGATTGATGAAGGTGTATCTTGCGTTTCCGAATCTGGCTGGCTGGCTGGCTTTGACATCTTCATCCGGCCCAATTGCTTGTGGTGGAAACCGTGCTTCCTAGATAAGTGAGGGGAGTGACCTCTTTCAAATTTATTCAGTTTATTGTTGACTGGTGCTGCTTGGTTGGTTGGTTATCTTCATCATCTCCGACTTTTCTATGTTCACGTGAAGTCCTCTCATCGCCATCAGCTTCTTCAGCCAGTTTGTTAGTTTTCTCCTGCCTCTAAGTTTTCGATTCTGTGTGACATTAAACATAAATCATCTGTGAGATCCAGATCCTCTAGAGTCAGTCTTGTGAACGGTTAGTGCAGCGTATTCGTGTCTTATCACTCCCTCTGCACAGTCTGAGGCATAATCCATACCACCAAAATTAGGAATATCATCGGTGATGACAGTGGGCAGCCTTGTCTTACCCATGTATTCACTTCAAACGCTTCGCTGAGTTTCCGGTTGTTGGTCACCTGAAACGTAGCATTGTCATTTAGCTGTGGTTGAATGAGATTGATGAAGATTTGGGCACTGCATGCCGTAGTGTTGAAGTCGTCTCCAAATTACTTCTCGGTCAACGCTGTATGTCTAAGGCCTTTTCGAAGTCGATGAATTTGAGGTAGGGTAAGGTTTGACTGCCATTCTATGCTTTTTTCGATGACGATGCGTAGAGTTGCAATTTGATCAGCACATGATTTGCCTTCCCTGAATCCAGCTTGTTCCGATGGGGTTGGCGGAGTTCTGCATCCAGTGCATCTTTTATTCTTTCCAGGATGACGCGACTTAGTATTTTACTTGGTGTGGACAAAACCATAGTGCGTCGGTGGCACAGTGGTTAGGACACTCGCCGATCATGCTCATGGTCCGGGGTTCAATCCTCGGCCGACGCACTCCTTTACCTAGCTGAGCCAGTAATGAAAGCTGGTAAGGAAGAAAGGTTGGGCATGAGGCTAGCAACCCCATCCTGTAAAAATAAATACTGCTACAGAAACTTCAAGTCCCTAGCTTGAAGCCCTATGTTCCACTGGGAACGTAAAGGAATAAAGAAGGACAAGAGCATTATTTCAAGCCAATCAGTTCTTGCAGTGTGAAGCGTGAGTCGCTCTCCTTTGGTAGCTTGACAAGGTAGCCAGGCTTCCTTCCAGTCGGTAGGTACCTTTCCTTCTTTCCAAACCTTTTGCAATAATAGCGCGAGAACATCTGCCGCAGTCTCTGGGTTCGTTTTCAGTATTATTATTGTTTCCTTTAATTCCTAGAGGAACATAGGGCTTCAGCCGTGCGTCCCCATTGCGTTCGGTTCTCTGCTAGAGTCTTCACCTGGCTTCAAGTCTGCCCACACGTTTTCATCTCCTCTTCACATGACCTCCTCCAAGTCACCTTTGCACTGACGACCAACTCGCCGCTTCCCTTTCGGGTTCTACTCGAGCAAAGTATGGTCAATCCATCTCCATTTCTTCCTGCCTATTTGTTTCCCAATCGGTTCCTGCTGTGTTGGTTCGTTCATTGCCAGAGATCTTTGTTGTTGATCTTTTCTGGCCATTTGATCTTGAGTGTTGAGCGAAGACAACTGTTAATGAAAGGTCTGTAGTTTGTTTGAGATGCTTTTTATGATGCGCCAAGTCTCTGATCCGTATAGTGAGTAGCACTGACTTCACATTGGAGTTGAATATCGGGATCTTATTTTTGATGCTGAGTGCTGTTGACCTCCACACAAACTTGAGAGTAGTGAAAGCTTGTCTTCGGTGTTAATTCCGTCTGGTTGTGCTGCCTTCCCTGACTTCAGTATCTTCATCGCATTCAAGATTTCTGTTTTCGTTGGAGGATTGGTGTCCAGTGGCATTTGATTTAGGTTACTGTAGATACCATCCATCCCTCACTGGAATCCAAAAAAATTTGTTTTCCCTCCATGTGGATGCCTGCCTCGCTGGCTTAAATACTCGCTCAGCCTTTAGTCATCGGGTAGCAGGTTCAAATGACGTCCCAATTACTTCAGTCTGGGCAAATGCCAGTCCCCACACAATAATAGCGTGACTCATAGCCTGGAACATGAAAGACCTTTTTCTGGAGCTGAGTTCACTAAACTCTTCTTTTTCCTGTCTCCTGTTCTTATCTTTTTATTTCTGTTATATATTTCTTGTCCCGTTGTATTGGTGAGTGAAAAAGAGAGAGTTTGACCCACGGCGCCTTTATGTCTAGCTTTTTCTTTTCGGAATAAGTCTGTCTTTCGATTAACAATGAGATTGCATGCGAAACTTAACATTTTCAGGTAACTGAATCATCGAATCTCGTAATTATGCGAACACAACTTTAGTCGCAAGGTGTATCATTACTCTGTCATCGTTCATCTCTCACATCTCTAGGCATGTAAGGAGCAACAAGAGCAACGAGTAAGAAAATAATAGAATACACTCAAAGTACCTTTCGAGATAAAGTAAAGAAACGGAAAGCAACTAAGGAAAGTTACTGTCACGATTAAAATGAAGACGAGACGTAAAGAAAAATGTCTGTATTACTGAGGTTGGTTTTTAGTCACACCACTTATATGATCAAAAGCATAGTTGCTCGTCAGCAACCCAGATAGGGCAGTCTGCAGGTTTTTTTTATACAACTCAGACGGTGAATTGGTACCACGCTTTAGGCTAACCACCCCTACTTTCACTAATCATAACATAACGGTGAAAAGATTAGTGAAAGCCAAATGATTGTTTTTAAAAAAAAAGATTTCTGCCAAGACTTTGTTCACCAGCTGTTCAACAAGGACGATACAATTTGCTTCGGTAAATGAGATTAGTTTGTTATGCGTCCACTGAACTAAAATGCATATTTTTTGGGGGGTAATCTCGTTGTCGAATTGTCCAGTGTATCAGGGCTTCTTATCCCACTTTCAATTGTAATGCTGTTGAACATATAGCTATTAACTGATCTTTTTTCTAAGGAAAAATGAATTGAAGGCGTGCAGTGGTTTCGATGCCTAGATTGCATTAAAATCTCTGTTTTATGTTCATTGGTTTTGTATTGTATTATAGATTCAATCAGTTAACTAATAGACTCAACTCTAGACTATTGTCACATGTATAATGAGATTTACATTGGCATCGGTGATGATTCATCGGTAGAATGCTTGCCAGCCACACAGCAACTCCGAGTTCGATTCCCACTCGACGTACTCTTAAACCTCGTCTAACTTTCTAATCGGTAGTGAGCTCAGAAAAAATAGGGTAAGTTAGGCTAGGCATCAGACTGGTGACTGCACCCCACTACTACCCAAACTTCAAACAACTTGAAGCTTCATGTTCCACTTGGAACGCAAGAATCCGAGGAAAACTTGTCTGGAAATTGATTCTTTGTAGAAAAACTTTTAAGTCATGTATTCATCATCATCGCCAGTGGTCTACTTTTTTAATTTTTTTTATCATTGTAACTTTTGTAGATTCTCCAGCTGGTAGTTGTAAACTGTCAGATGATAAGAATTCCAGTAATGCATTCGACTCAACTACAAGATGGGATGCTTTAACGACTACTTCAGATATCAAGTCAAACAGTACACCAGAGAATTGTGCTACAATGAAAGAAACCTCCACGCCTAACACTAATGACAATATTAACGATAATATCAATATTAGTGGATATTTAGGTAACAATGATGAACGTTCCGATAATCACTTGACTAAACAGTTTATGTGTAATAATGCTGTATCTTTTGAAGAGAAAACATATTTAACTGAAGCTGTGGTAAGTTTCTGTTATAATATCTGCTTTTTATTTTTCTTAAACAATTTTGCTAACCTTTTGTCTAAAATGGTACACCCATTGACTACTGGGTATTGGTTTTCAGGAGAACCGAACACACCTATCGTATCGCTGCCTCTTGCGAGACGAGACCGGCATACAGTGTCATCCTGTGGAGCAACCACTCGAGAGCCCTCTCCCTCGGTGGACCAATATATTTTTGAGTCGGTTTTGTTTTTGCAATTGGTTTGTAGAACTTGGTAGTCTTTCATAGAAATTGTCCCCCACTGTTCATTAACTTGAATAGAGTCAAAAGGAAAATTATGGCATAATATTGCATTTAATAATACTCATCAACTTAGAAAAAACAAACAAAATTTGTATGTTACAAACTCCAATGCATACTTCGAACTTTTCTAGAATTCACAGGCATGTAATAATCGGGGTCTCTGTCTGTCTGTCTGTCTGTTTTCGACATAGAACTTTGCACCGATGTGCGTCAGTTCAAGTCTCCACACTCCCTCCATGTAGCACACAAAGCAAGGGAGGAAAGTAGAAGAAATGCGTAATATAGACAGTAAGTTGAGTTGTGAGACAAAGAAATAGTAACAACGAAGAACAATATAGTTTCATTGGAAATCATAAGTCACAAGGAGTGGATGCATCTGCACCAGACAGCCATTGAGAACGATTTTGAGCCATATCACCAATTGTTTCCAGCCACTGGTTTTTACCATCCCGTAAACCCCAACCAGCAAGTCTACACTTTCCTACGTGGCTTAAACTAACTGTTGTGGATTTCATTGACTGGTGAAGCAATGTTTTGGTTTGACCACCACTGGCTAGCTCTTTTCCAACCTGACCCTATGTCAGCTAACATTGGTTGACGGTCGAGGAAGGCGATTGATAGGCATGCGTAACACATGCTCTAACCATCTCAGTCGAAGTAACTTCACAACCTCGTCTATTGATTTCCCGTCCTCCTTACCCAGCACTCGACGCCTAACCTCAATATTGCTCACCCTATTATACCATTTCTCACGGGAGATAGGACAGCCAGCCTTTTCATATCTCCTACTCTCAATGGCCAGGTCTCACAGCCGTAGAGGATGACGGAGCGGACTGCTGAGCAGTTCACCCGCCCTTTGGTCGATAGCTGGATATCACGTCTACCGAAAGAGTGATGGCGTAAAGTGGCATATGCGAAACTAGCCCTCTGTATTCGTGCTGAGATTTCGTCAGAGATCAACCCGTTGGGGCTGATGGTACTTTCCAAATAAGTGAAGTGGTCAGCGTGCTCTACCACGAATACAGCTGAAGTTAAATTGTGAAAACGATTCAAAAGTTATCTATACATGAAAATAATTCAAACTTTTGTTCTAGAAAAGATGGTGTAGATTGCAAAAATCTACAAAACATGATTCTCATGATTAATTCCCTCCCGCATAAACTTCATCAAAAACCATTAAGAAACATAGAATAATGGGCAGTTTTGTTCTCGTCTTTTTGGTTCCAACATCCTTCAGTAATGAGTGCACGTCTACGTATGGGTTTGTAAGACGATTTCCAGCTTCTGATAATTTGCTACACAGCATCGCTTTAATTCAATTTCACCAGTGAGTAGATTCTCTCATAACTGGCCGATCACAACTTATCAGTTGATTTCTAGAAAATTCATCCTGAATTTAAGCACTAATCAACAGTGAAGGCAGATCAAGCCAAGTGACTTCCTATGCACAACTTGAATGGATAATTGATGTCATAAGTTCTGACGATATAGATATAAGTGGTTAGCAAACTTCGATGAGCTAGTCTTGTAAGGCGAATAAGAGTCAGCCAATGGAGCTGGATTTTACAGTAGATAGGAAAGGAAATTGAAAGCAATGGTGTACTGAGACTGTAGTCTCACCTCTTACTGTACTGAGTGTTAAGCTAAGCGGCTGTAAGCAACTCGTAGTAAAAGCAGATCCCATGGGTTATCAACAAAAGCGTGCAAACGTGGTGGTTAAGGCTTGGACATAATCTCCTTTGATTGGTTTCTATCTCTGGTGGTTCACTATTTGTGAAGAACCAAAGAAATCTTCGTAAAGTAGTTTCAAGAGAATGAATTAAGTTGATACATTGTGAAGAATATTAGAATCCAACAGTGTCTAACTTCTAAGCGTAATTTCAGTACAGTGGGGGAAAAAAGAGTCGCCTTTCTCAATCTCTACCTGTATATATGACTAAGAGTACTGGTGATGTGACTTACTTTTCAGTGAATTTATCATCATCTCTTTCTTCTCGCCCTTCAGTTTTCATGTCTTCCTAGTAGTTGTTGTTGTGTATCATTTTTTCCGTGAAAGTTTTTCTTCGCTTGCAAGGCTGATATCATATTTCAAGTATGAGATAGATTTGTTTGATGTAACACACACACACAGTTAAACAGTATTATTAACTGGCCGACTTTTTGAGCAAAATTCACATTTGAACAGCCCGTATGCTATCATACAGTGAGACTATCGTTTGATACTGGAGATCGGGAAGTCTTTCTGTGTGAAACAGATGTACACCACTACCACGCACGTCCTTCAGAGCTAACGCCAGCTTGTCGTCGATTGTACACACCATTTGAACTTGCAAAGAGTGATATTCGAAGCACTTCAGTGGGATCTTGAACGTGCGTCTCCGAAATGCAGCACATATTGATAGAGAGACTTTCTAATGTTCTGGTTTCACCTTCCTGTTGTCCGATTTGCATCATTGTGCGAACTTTGTTAGTGGGCAAGCTTGAACGCGACACGTGGTTTCAGTATATCTGTGTTAGGTATCTTATTGGAGACCTATACTTTTAAAGCTACTCACTAACAATTCAAAACGGCACAGATAGACTGGGAATTCGAATTTTGTTTGTCTGGTAAGAATAAATAACAAAGGGGTATGTACAGAAATAAAATCAAAAAGGATCACGTCGCTGAAAATATGATGGTAGTTGGTAATAGTGAGCGCACAGTTGTAACCTCCCATAGAATTGTTGTGTCATAGTTTGTGTGAGGGCTGCCCGTGCATCCAGACCGAATCAGGTGGTTGTCTTGAGGAGCCATCTCCAGAGTCTTTAACTCCCATTCTGATTCACGAGGCAGTTGAGCAGCGTCAGGAGCTCCGTTCCCATGGTTTCCTGTCACCAAAACCAGGTTTATATGCCATTTGTTTCCTCTGGAGTCCATGTACTCCATCAGTTCGGAGTCGGGCTTATAGAGCTCCCCTAGGTGTACACCTAGATGTTCACCAGTTATTTTGTAGATGCCGAATATTCACATTTGCTCTCTCACTTTTGTGACGAACAGACCTAGTGCTTGAAGGTACTGAATAGGATTTAGGTGACAAAAGCTATGGAAGTGTAGCCACGTGACAGCATTTTGAGATGAAGACCAACGTCTACCCCCTCGGCCAAACTAAGTGGTTTTGGGGCCGATCCAGGTAGGTGTTGGATAGTGGGTAAGTTGAGTGTGGCTGCAGATCAGTTAAATTGCTCCTCAAAAGTGTTCCCTGCAGTGTTCAAACCTTTTATAATTACTTCTGATTGTGCCACCGCTATTTTCTGAGATTGTCTCGCGTATCATTTGTATTTTCCGGTCTGTTTCCTTGATAAGCCTAAGTAGTTGTCTAGTGTTGCCTAGCGCTGATGGCCTTTCTATCCCGTTAATCTTTGTTACCCACCACTACTCAGGTTTTTTGCAGCGATTTTTGGTTAACTTGCGTTTGAGCAACTTTCGCTCCTCATCATGATGGGAACCCAGCGGAATCAGTCTTCTTGCGTCTGCCAGTTCGGATGAAGCAAAAGAAATCCAGTGGCATTTACTAACCTTTGGTTTTAGCTTACTGAGAGCCTGTACCACTGTTTCTACAGTTGACTGGATATTATACTAGGTTTCATCAAGATGAGTCTTGCTGTCAGTTTCAGATACGCGTTAAGCTATTTCTTCCTAGCTACTTAGTGTTACCTGTTTTCTCTAACCGTTCAATCGTAGGGACGGACTATAGCGTGGTTTGAGTCTATGTAGGGACTTCGGAATGAACAGCAGTCTTCTCCTAACCCTATCTATCAATAGCTTATTGCTATGTGGTCTTTTTGAGTCCATCGTTGATTTGATGATGAAAGTCGCCAGGTTAGGCAATGTTTCTTATGTTTGAAGTTAGTGCTGACCAAGAACAAATAATGATGTGAAAGGAACTGTAGAAAACTATCACCGTTGTCGGTTCGTTTGCATTAAACCCCAACGTTGCTGCCAATATACTTCTCTAACTCTGGCACAACTTCCCAACTTGAGTGGCGAATTCGCCTGATAGAATGAAATATATCTGAACCTTTAGCTTCTAACAACCAACTAGACAGCTTCTGATCGAACCCATTCAATACTTCCTCCGAACTGCAATCTTTTAGCACTTAGTTGGAGACCATGAAGAGACATCGACAGGTGTCTCAATTCTTCTTTTGTATAACAGATTCTTTCAGCCCGTAGGCACACATACAACTATCCATTGGGTTTCAGTCAAGTGAGAATTTCTCTGCCTCAGTACTCAGTTCTATCCCTATACCAGCAATTCCTCTCAACCCAACACAAGACTACTCTGTCATCTTAGAGCAAATTTGTTTGACAAAAGCACAGCTTTTTACAGGATTATTTACTGATCATGTTTCGAGCACAATTTATTGCTAATAATCATATCAGGGTCATGATATAATTATGATGATGAAACTCTACCACAGCACCCGAGTTCCATTCTTATAACACGACTGCTGTCATAACCGTAAGATGAATTTTGCAGATTCACTGTTTGTCTGTTGGTTAAACTGAATAAACCTACTGAAGTGTTGTAGGCATTTCTTCGAAACATGGAGTACACCCATGACTCAAGATGCCGGAGTTCTGGCTAGTGAAGCCTGTTCTCCAATTTGGAAAAGTGTTCTGACACCAAATGGTCCAATATGTTTTTCTTACTCTGGTCTTTATTAATGATCAGAGGGTTAAGAGAGAATATGGGACACCTACCTGTGGGATAGTATTAACAGTAGGAGGAAGGCAAGATGATGATGTGTGATAGTCAGAAAAGTATTGTGTGTTTATAGAAGTGTGTGGGTGGTTACCCACACTGCGTAAGTTGATTTTTTTTCTTGGAGAACCTACAATAGAAAGAGCATTAGTATTGCGTGAATGAAGAGTTCACGGGATACCTGCTTTAGGGTGATCACTCAAGGTTTGTCTAAAGTGATTTGTCGATCTGTGCCTACATGAACATCTTACCGCCGGTAACAAACCGCTCCAAGTTAAGTCGTGATGTCCAATTTTTCTGACCTCCCTCTTCAGATCTCGCTTGCTGGTTGTTTAAAGAGAACACCTTACTGTTGGTACATCCGTATTCATTAACAGTATGACTTCGAACCCAGACACCCAACATAGTGTAAACGGTTTACACCATGACCTGGGCTCGTTAGGGGATTGCGATATGTAAGCCCAAGCTCAACGTCAAAGTAGCATCTAGCGTTTGATTGCTAGTAATGCTATTTCTGTAGTAGTATTATTGTCATCCGTTTACGCCACTGTTTAAGTGATTCCGAGTTCCAGTGATGTCTCTTCAAGTCATATTGTTAATTCGAATCCAGTGACTAAAATCTCATTGAAATATTGTTGGGTACAGTAATTTAGATATGCGTTTCGCATTCTTATTTCAATACCTTCTCTTCCTTAATAATTCACTGTTTAAAGAAGAAGTTTTTAAAAGCAGTCGTAAAATAGTGTCAGTCATTATCTGACAGGTCATCATAAATTGAAGGATAATTGTACTATATTAGTAGTATGTGTCGTCTCTGTACAACACTACAGAAAACACACAAAATAGATGGTAAATACATAAGCTATGGTCTAAAATCGAAGGCTTAGTCCTACTACTCTTTACCAATGTATTCTGGTTTTTTAAAGTGGTACAAAGCTAACGAATTTATCGATATATTTCTGACTCTTTAACTTCTCCTAATTATTTTCACTTCTTCGACTTTCCTTTACATGCTGACATTGTTTATTTGTATTTGGTCGCATACCGTATGTCAAATATCCAGATCGCTGAGATCCTGGACTTATCGCTGGTTTCATAAGATTAAGCCTACCTAATACGTAGAAGACTATGCACTGTAACCGACGCAGAACAACTGAAAACGTTTGTGCAACACGATTATTTATTTTGCAAGTGATAACAATACAGATTTACAGTGGTTAATCAGTGCCAAAGTCTGTAAATAGACGTTAGCATAATATTATATACAAGAATACTTATGATCATATTTGTCCAATTATCTACCAACCAGTACACGATATAGCACTGACAGTCTTCTTGTCACCGGCCAATGGACACCAGTTCGAATAAACAAACGGTTCAATGTTCACCAACATTGACACCTTACTTTGTCCGTTTTTTTCTGTTTACTGAATTTGTTGCTTAAAGAACAAAAGTAAATGGTGTATACATGTCTGTATCTTTTATAATCTTAACTGTTGTAAACTCCATTATTATATATTTTCTACTTGTATAAATCATTAATAATGAATATATATATATATATATATTTATATTGTCAATTGAATATTGTGTGTTTAGGAGAACTTAGAAAAACAATTGGCTTCAGTGACAAATGAATTGAATGTGAAAACACAAGCTTTAAAAGTTGCTACAGATCGTCGTTTAGAATTGGAGAATGCTCTTAAAACTCAGGTCGCTGAACAAGCATCTAATACAGAGAAAATATCCACACTTGCCTCACAAATGACTCAACGATTGGATGGTTTGATGTCGAATTACAAGGTAGGCTTACTCCTTTGTATACATATATGTATACACAATATGACACAATTCATTCAGCTGCTATGCATATGGTGTGTGTAAAGTGTGTCCATGCGGCGCTGAGTTTGGAGTCCATTAATTGAAAGTTAGTGGAAGGGCTTACTTAAGCTAATAACCCACACTTCTAACTACTTTCAATTTGATCACAATAAGTTTCTAGTGAAGTAGGTTAATGAACTACAGGAAGAAGTATACTACGTGTTTGTGATTTTGCAGTTGCAAATATTAATTTGAATGTATTCATACAGTTATCTAATCACCATTCATATAGTGTATTCGTTTAGATTAAGAATTTGTTCACTTTCTGTCCGAGACCTTTTCAGACACAAGTTAATTTTTTATGTGATTTCGGTCGTTTCTTGTGCTAAAAAAATTTTTCACATCACAATATTCGTGTTTCCCTTCTAACAAAACCTACTTGAAGTGTCATTATAGTTTGGCGGTGTTTATTTTATCGCGTGTCACCAAAAGCATTTCTAAGTGTTTGTAAACACTTTGATTAACACTCGTCTTTTCTTCATATTAAAGACCAGATGACTACTGCCATAGGAAAAGCAAAAAGGAATTCTACAATACAGCGAACCAGCCTATAAGCAAATGGAAATGGATTAGATATACACTGAGGAAGTCTTCAAATGACACCAGCCAGTTGATTGGAAACTGAATGCGGATCGACGACTTGGGTTTCTGACGACGTTTATGGTAAATATCATGCGGAGAGAAAAAGAAAAGAAAGCTTTTGGTCAGTCGTGCAGCCAGTTAAAAAAATCATAACAGGGGACTGAGTGTAATAGAGACGTGCTACTCAAGGCCTATGTTCCTCACAGAAGGCAAGAAATGAGTGATAATAGTTATTAACAATGTTTATTTTAAACTTTCGTGCGATACTTCAGAGAGTGGATAATCTCATTCTATGTGGATCACATCTGAGCGGTGGGCGATGACAATTGGATTAGATGTCAAATCAGCTAAGTTAAAACCCCATACAGTAGTGCAGAACTTCATGTTAGTCTGTTTATTTTGCTGCAACACATAGTGATCACCATTCTGTGCTACATGTAGTCAACTAACTATAGTCTATCACGTATTACCCAAGTTTCACTCTTATATAGTACTGCAATGCAGGTTTTTCCCCTTTCTTGCGTTCCCAGTTAGACATAGGGAAGGGATTGTGATGTACTTTGCGGAGTGGGATTGCTAGTCTAACGACTAACTTTCCCTATTTTTCCTACCTTACTATCGGTTGGTAAATTGGGTGAGCGGGTTTAGGAGTGCATCGAGCCGGAATCAAAGTTGGATTACGTTTATGGCTGGCAAGCATTCCATTATTGAACAAACCCTATACAGATATGCAGCAGTTTACAATGTAGAAAATGCGATGGATATGTATTACTTCGTCCTATTGCCCATTAGCGTTATGCTATGAACTTGTTAACAACTTTGCTGTAGCATGTGTGTATTGAGTGAAGTTTATTAATTTGGATGATGATTATGATGATAATGTTTTCCTCTCTCGTGATTTGAAAAGTAACACTTTCTAAAAAAGACATTATAATTTGTAAATATTGCTGTTTATTTATACTTATGTATTTGTGTATATACAGTCCTATAGAGAAGCAACTGAAAGAGAATTGGCTACATTGAAAGTGGAACGTAAAATAGCCGAATCCAATTTGGAGACAATTCGTTCCCATTATGATTCACTTATTGGAAGGCGTTCACAAGCTGCTGCTGAACTAAGTCGACAACCTATTCAGTTACCGAATGAAAAAGATGAATTAGAACACTTAGCACTGAAGTTGTATGAAGAAAATTTATCATTTCGGTAAGGATTACTTATTCTCTTCGCTTAATTTCAGCTTACAATAAATAATAGATTAGTGAATGAGTATTATTACTGTTGCTCCTAAGTTTATTTTAATTTTATTCCTTTGCGTTCTCAGTGGAACATAGGGTTTCAAGTTGGAGGTCTGAATTTCCAGTAGCAGTGGTGCTCATTTTTTACGATATGTGGTTGCTGGACTCACACTCAATCTTTCCTGTTTGCTGCGCTTGCTACCGATGAAGTGAAGTTTAGAAGTGCGTCGGTCGGAGATCGAAGCCCAGACCTCATGCGTGGTTGGCAAGCATTATACCGCTGAACCACCAACTCAGGGTTGTTAACAGTGGTGACTCAAAAATCAAAACACGTATTGAGCAAATTGTTTTCATCCTTTTCCCTACTGAAATCGTTTCTCATTACAATCAGCACCAAGGATTGGACTACACCGACTCCTAGATTACAAATAGGAAGTGAAGTGGTAGAGCACGTTGACCGCTTCACTTACTTGGGAAGTACCATCAGACCCAACGGGTTGATCTCTGACGAAATCTCAGTACGGATACAGAGGGCATATGCCAGTTTACGCTGTCTCTGGCTCAGTAGACGTGATATCCCGCTGACTGATGACCAAGGGGTGGGTTTACTGCTCATCAGTCCGCTCCGTCCTCCTTTATTGCCAGCTGTGAGACCTGGCCGTTGAGAGCGGAAGACATGAAAAGGCTGGCTAGCTCTCTTTGATCAAAGACACCTGCGTCCTATCTCCCGTGGGAAACGGTATAATAGGGTGAGCAATATTGAGGTTAGGCGTCGAGTACTAGGTAAGGAGCAGGGAAAATCAATCGACGAGGTTGTGAAGTTACTTCGACTGAGATGGTTAGAGCATGTGTTACGCATGCCTAACCATCGCCTTCCTCGACCGTCAACCAATGTTAGCTGACATAGGGTCAGGTTGGAAAAGATCTAGCCAGTGGTGGTCAAACCAAAATATGGTACCAATCAATGAAATCCACAACAGTTAGTTCAAGCCACGTAGGAAGGTGTAGACTTCCTGGTTGGGGTTTTCGGGATGGTAAAAAGCAGTGGCTGGAAACAATTGGTGATATGGCTCAAAATCGTTCTAAATGGCTGGCGCAGATGCATCCACTCCTTGTGACTTATGATTTCCAATGAAACTATATTGTTCTTCGTTGTTACTATTCCTTTGTCTCACACCTCAACTTACTGTCTATATTACGCATTTCTTCTACTTTCCTCCCTTGCTTTGTGTGCTAGATGGAGGGAGTGTGGGGACTTGAACTGCCGCACATCGGTGCAAAGTTGTATGTGGAAAATAGACAGACAGACCAATTCACCTTACTTAGCAGTGATATCAACCAGTTACTGACTGGCTGAGTTTTCATTATAAAACTGTGCACACAAGTACACGGCAGTTGAAGTCGCCACAATTCATGAAGTTTGACAGATCTGAGAGTGAATATATATGCGCGACTGAGGACTTTTTTGAGCCATATCACCAACAGTGGCTTACCACTGGACCTTGTTGACTGGAAGGCCCCAACCAGGCAGTCTACACATTCCTACGTGATTTAAGCCAACAGTCAAAGACTTCATGGACTAACGTCGTATTTTTATTTGAGCACTCGTAACTCTCTTCGAGAACGATGGCTTGTCTTGCTTGACTATCAGTAAAGTTCCACAATCTCATCTATTGATTTTCCTTCCCTTACTAACACTACACCCAGCCTCAATATTACTGACCATAGTATACCACTTAACACGAGAGACTGAACTCAAATACCCATGGTCAAAGACACCTAGCCTGATGAAGTCTTTCATTTTCAACCTCCATGTCTCACAGCCGTAAAATAGGACGGAGCGAACTGCAGTGGAATATTCAAAAGCTTTTTAATAGAAAGCCGAATATCACATATATGCTAGAGATGATGTGAATTGGCGAATGCCACACTGATCTTTTTTATTTATGCTTAGATTTCATCAGCATTCATTCTACTGAGGTTGATGCAACTTCCCAAATAGGTGGAGTGGTCAAAACGCTGTACCAACTGACTCCATACTTTCAACCTAGGAGTCGGTGCAACTAGTCTTATAGCACTATTAGACATTTTACAGGTGCTAATAGGATGCAGAACATTGAATGACTTCTGCGCAAGGCGTTCATAATACTGCATCTCCACCTTTAAGTTCTATGTCTTTGATGGGTTGGTTGTCGTCACTTCAGTTGAAAAATCTGGTATCTAAGTTGCCTTGATTACTGCATTGTATTTTCCTGCTACTCTCTTGGCGGTTACTTATCACCTCAGCACCTCTTGGTTAACAATGTCAGATTCCGCCTTCATTCACAGAATATGTTAACTGTAGGGCACCTATAAGTTTTCCAACTTTCTGGAATCTGTCGCAGGTTGGTGGCAGGTTTCCAGCAAGCCTACAATACCGGAGGGTATTGTATTTTTTCACTTGTTCAGAAAGTCCTTATTCATTTCTGAGGGTAAGCATTAACCTTAGGAATCGATATAAAATATCTTAATTTTTATCCGTATAAAAATAAATGAAACTGTTCTGTTTCACTACTATTAAAGTTTACAGTGAGACAATTTTCCACCATTTTCACACAGCCGGTTCTCGTAATTCTCTGTATTTGTTCGACTGTTTTCGAGTTGATGTTGACCGGAAACGTCAATGTTAGCTGACATAGGGTCAGGTTGGAAAAGATCTAGCCAGTGGTGGTCAAACCAAAACATGGCTTCAACAGTCAATGAAATCCACAACAGTTAGTTCAAGCCACGTAGGAAGGTGTAGACTTCCTGGTTGGGGTTTTCGGGATGGTAAAAAGCAGTGGCTGGAAACAATTGGTGATATGGCTCAAAATCGTTCTAAATGGCTGGCGCAGATGCATCCACTCCTTGTGACTTATGATTTCCAATGAAACTATATTGTTCTTCGTTGTTACTATTCCTTTGTCTCACACCTCAACTTACTGTCTATATTACGCATTTCTTCTACTTTCCTCCCTTGCTTTGTGTGCTAGATGGAGGGAGTGTGGGGACTTGAACTGCCGCACATCGGTGCAAAGTTCTATGTCGAAGACCGACCGACCGACTGCAGACGTCAATTCAGTTATTATGAAGTAATATTTATCATCCGAGAGTGACATGAAGGAAATCGTGTGAAGCGTAGATTACACCTTATTATTTATTTTTATTTTTTTAAATTTTGATTACAGCTTGATTCCACACCGTATTTTCAGTACAAGGATGGAATTTTCAGCATGGATATCGGTAGCCCAAATTTCAGGCTGACCATAGATATCGGGTGTGCACCGGCAGGGGATCGAACCCCGGACCATGTGCATGGTCGGCGAGAGTCCTAACCACTGTGCCACCGACGCCAATGGAGGAGGGAGCCAGCTAAAGAGGACACGATGCAACAGGGATAGGCTGTTGAAATCCCTAAAGCTCCACTCGGAACCTTAGAGATTAATAATATTATTATTATCTGCATTTATTACTAGCTACTTATTTTACTGGATGGAGCAGGAAGTCAAAAAAGCATCATTCTAGTCTGAATAATAAGCGGTTTTTTTCTTAGCTAAGCATTTTTATCCCAGTGTATCGCAGTTTACTAGATTACATCCTACCATGTGTGTATATTTTAATGACTCCAGCGTCCACTTCTGACTTTAAATTCTTAGCCTTTTTTTCCCCTAAATGACCAATAAGCCACGTGGAATAAGAAATAAAAAGATATTTGGAGAGTTTTTCGTCTCCTCTCCAATCTGTCTCCCTTTCTCCTCTTCTCTCTCTCTCTCTATCTATCTAACCGCTAATTTTACCATTTGAGCATTTTCGACTCTTTTACCTTAATTTCATACCCAATACCATTAAATTTGTATCTTTCCTTTTTTGTCACTCAGCATTGTGTTAATTGCATGTCTTGGTTAAAATGTTTTTGTTAATTATGATCAAAGGCTGATTTTCAGTGTCACATTGATTCGTACACTACAAAATACCAGTAACAGTAACCTTGAGAATTTTGCGGGCGTTTTCCTCTTACCAGTTGTGTATACTTCTTATTGATTAATTTTGGGAGAGAAATTTGATAAGTATTTTTTTTCATTCATTCATTCATTGTGCTGTGAATAGAACATGGGACTTTGAGTTTTCGAAGTTTCAGTTTCGATGGTGTTGTTTCTTTTGTTTTGCGGGATGGAACTGATAGTGCCGCACACAGACTTTCATTTTACTATCGGCTGGCTGGTAAACTAGGTGAAGTTTAGAAATGAGTTGGCTGGGAATCGAACCCCGTTCATGTACACGGTTGGTGAGCATTCTACGACTGAACGACTGTCGAACTTATGATTAGTGCAGACGGCATTATTGATTTGATAGATTAGCAGTAAAACCTTTTTGTGCTACCTGTTGCTTGTAGACCTTGCTTGGCAATAAATACCTTCCGGCCGAGAGCCTCTACCTTGACATGGTGGTCAGGATTGCATGTCGTAATGTTCCTCCAGGTCCCACTATGTCACTAACGTTGTTTAGATAGCGGTTAGACTAAAAGCAATTACAGTCATAGCGTGAGTTATTCACACTATGTTGGGGTCTGTGGAAAAAGTCGTACCGCTTCGGAATAAGTATGTGGGGGCTGTATAGTGTTCCCTACGGATGACCAGCAAGCCAGCTATGCTACCTTTCCGCTCTAGAGAAGGTAAGGGTAGAAAATGTCGATGGCGAAAATTCTACATCCCGATTTGCCTTGTGCCACTCCGTAGCCAGTAATAAGATCGTAATACAGACTCTACTCCGTAATCCACTTCAAACAGGGTGTGTGTGACCGGTCTCAAGCGGGTTTCCCATGGGACTTGCATTCACACGAGACCAATGCCCCTTCTATTGCATGTACTCCAATAAAAAATCAACTTTCACAGTGTGGATGGATGGGAAGTATTAATCGTCTACACACTTCCGAAAGCACAAAAAGCTCTTTTTGTTATTGTTCAGTGGACTGGCTCCTTAAAATCTGCTAAACGTCGTCTTTAGAACTCTAACCTCACCATTTCCTGAAAAAAAGAAGCTATCATTTGAAGACGCTTAGTTCACAGTTAAATATTAAAAAATATATAAATTGTTTAAAAAATCTCAACCATGTGGAACTATAATTAATGAATGACTCATAATACCGGCGTCAGAATTTAAATTTCGACTGCAAGTTAATCACCTATCTTTGAGACATGAAATATGCATTTTCACTGGAATATCACACAGGCGACACGTGTTTTCAGTGATGAAATGAAAGGCTTCAAGCTTTGATGGTGTTGTTTTCTTTTTTCTGTACTGTGGTTACTAGCCTCATGCATAGTCTTCCCTCTTTTCCCGACATACTATTATTATTATTATTGTTCCCTTGGGTTCCTAGTGGAACATAGGGCTTCAACTGCACGTCTCCACTTGCTTCTGTCTTCTGCTGTGCTTTTCACTTGCATCCATGTTATTCCATATTGTTTCAACTCCTCTTCACATGATCTCCTCCATGTCACCCTTGGACGTCCCACTCGCCGCTTCCCTTTCAGGTTCCACTCGAGCTATGGCCTGACGTGCGATGTCACCCAGCGGCCTCTTCAGCGAGTGTCCAATCCATCTCCACTTTCTCCTGCATATTTGTTGAGCGATTGGTTCTTGTTTTGTTTGTTCCCATAATTTCTTGTTAGCGATTCTTTCCGGCCATCTGATCTTCAGTATAGAGCGAAGACAGTTGTTGTTGATAAAGATCTGCAACAGGCTGTTGGAAATATTCTTTGTGACCCACCAAGTTTATGATCCGTATAGCAAAACTGACTTGACGTTTGTATTGAAAATCCGAATTTTGTTGTTGATGCATGCTGAGTGACAAAGATTTCCAGATTGGTTTCAGGTTGATGAACGTGTTTCTCGCCTTCCCGATTCTCGATTTGACATCCTCGTCCATTCCTCCTGTGGTTGAGACAATGCTCCCTAGCGAGATAAGTGAATGAAGTAACCTCTTTCAAATCCCTCCCGTTGATGGTGATTGGCGCTGAATGTTGCTGCTGTTGTTGTTGTTGGTTGGTTATTTTCATGACCTCCGTCTTGTCTATGTTCACCTTGAGTCCTGTCTTCTCTGGCTGCTTCTTCGACCAGTTTGTCGGTTTATATTTTTAGAATTTGTAATATATTTGTGCATTGAAGTTTCTGTAGCGATTTGGTTAAGTTTTGGGGTCGGAGTTGCTAGCACCACGCCCCAACCCTCCCTCTTTATCCGGGCTTGGGACCGGCTAGAAAACTAGTGAGTTAGTAGTTTAGGCGAGGTTGACATACTACCGGCTAGTAAACGAGGCAGGAATTATAAGTGCATACGTACGCACACCTTCTAAATGGCTGGTGAGCTGTTCACCATTGAACCACTGATTGACGGATTGTTAGTTACTTATTTCCTTATTTATTATTTTCTTCTAAAATGAAGGGAAGCACGTGACCATTTGGAAGAACGTTTAAAAAGTGAAACTGAAGCGCACAAAGAACAATTGGCGGCTGAACATCAAGAACGTCTTAACTTTGAGTCTTCAGTTATACAAGAACTGGAAGATGCTCGTAAACAGCTTGCAAATCTGACAAATATTTCAACTGAACGTGATAACGAATTGGCTTTACGACAAAAATATGAAGAAGAAGCAAAATCATCTAAATCCCGGCTAAATGAATTACAAGTATGTTTAATAATAATAATATATAATGTAAATCTTAATTTCAATGACAATCCTGTGTTCGTCATTAATTAATTAATTAATTTTACTAAGAAGTTAATGATAATCTCAAGTGTCATCGAAATATTGAGTGATGACGCCTTGTGATCGCATTTTATGTTGTGTTTTTTTGTTTGTAAATTGACATTTTAATGATTATACGCTATTTATTGTATTTTGGTTTAATTACTGTATAATGATAATGTGATATAATGATCAAATGAACTATTGATGTTTTGGAGAAACAGCAATAACAGATTTAGTGAAGAAGAAATACACTCCTTTTCGGGGTAGAAATTTGCACAGAAAGCGGAAAAGTTGAAGTTGCCACACTCCATATTGCACAACACTACAGTAGAATAAAAAAACCCAGAAAATATTCAAAGAACTATAATGTATGGGAAATATAGTTCTATGGGGAGTAAACCCGTCTGCGCCACTGAGTACAGTTTTGACTCATATCACCGACAGCCTCTAAACACCAATTTTAACCGTCTCAAGGATCTCAACCAGGCAGGCAGTCTACACCTCTTTATGTGGCTTTAACCAGCTGTCAAAGACTTCATGTGTGGACGTTGTATTTTGGTTGCATCATCCCAAACTCTTTGCCAACCTAATCCAATGTCAGTTAACATTGCTCGTCGTGGAATTCGATGTCTTGACATGCGCAACACCATGGCCTAACCATCTCAATCAATGTACCTTTACAAGCCCAACTTTACTGTTACTCAGCATATTATACCACTTAATCAGAGAGAAGAAACTCAAACACCTAAGGTCAAAGACAATCAGCCCAATGAAGTCTTTTACTTTCAATGGTCATGTCTCACAGTGACAAAGGAGAACGAAACGAAATGTGCACACTCTACTTTTAATCGGTAGCTATATATCGCATCTACGCCTGAGTTTCCACCAGTCGACAAATTTCAAATGTGTCTTTTTCACTCGTGCTAAAATCTCGTCAGCAATCATTCCATTCAGACTGATGTAACTTCCCAAATAAGTGAAGTGGTCAATCCACTCCAGTCAGTGTACTACTCATCTTCCACCTGGGAGTTGGTTCAGAGCAGTCCTGAAGTTTTTGATAGGAGTGAGTCTAGTGCTATACATATGATGATTTTTGCCCAAGATATTCAGCAGACTTTACATTTAGTCAACGGCTTCACTTAGGACAAGAATATCATGTGCATAGTGTAAGTAAACAAGACTGTCCCTTGGTAAAAGTCAACCCCACTGAATTTGATCATCGTCATATCCGATAAATGCACACATGATGAAACTAAACAAAGTAGAGACAATAGATATCACTAACGGTCATCACTGGCTATTCTTACTTCTGATCGTAACGCTCCATGAGGTCTCATACGGCTGCATGAGTCTTAATTAATGAAGTATACTTCCTAGGCGCTCCTTTTATGGCCAAACACTGCCACAGCACCACCCGGTCGTTGGAGTCGAATTCCACCTTCAGGTAAAGAAATAATGACAAGTGCTGGACACCGGTAATTATTGCCATGTTGGAGAATCTGTCGAAAGGTGAAGATACGATCAATCGATGCGTACTCTTCCTGGCCTAAAGCTTCACTGCTTTTCCCGGTTTTGTTTCTTCTGAGCACCACTTAGTCTGAGCATAATTATTGAGCCTAGAACTTTAGATACTATATTAGTCAAGCTAATTCGCCTATGATTATCACAGGAAGACTTGTCTCCCTTCTTATAAACTGGGATAATCACTGACCTACACCAGTCCAACGGAACTATCTCTGATTCGCAGACATTAACTGACATCTTAGTTAACTCAGTCAACAGTTCATGGCCTCCATCCTTAATCACCCCTGGAATCATTCTATTAGTCCCCGTTGCTTTACCTAGTTCCATATTAGAGGCAGCTTTCACAATCTCAATTACTGTAGGCGGCCTGACGTCTGTTTCCTACATCAGTCCCGTCTCAGGAATATTCGTACATGAACCAGAACTTGGTCCGGAATGAGTTGCAGTCTGCTACCGATACCCTCCATTGGCACCTTAACACTGCCTGGTCTATTTTTCTCCATTTTTGAACTGCTGATGGTGGTTGCTAGTTTGGGCAATGTGTTTCTTTATGTTCGAGGTTATAGCTGTTGACAAATGACTTCTATTATAGCTTCTTCGGTGTAGGACTGCATAGGTACTACCTATATTCTTTTGTGACCGAACATCAAAATCACCTTTTCAAATGACTGTACCTGAGCACTCCGCTTTTTGCAGCAAACTGGACAGCTTTTGATAGAAGTCATCCCCTACTTTCTCTCAACTTCAGTCTGTTAAAGCGGAGGCGGGCTTATGTAAACATATGTGTACCACAGTCCTTACATCTGATGAATCCGTTCATTTGGACAGCAGACGTACAACTATCTGCTGGAATCCAATTAAGTCAATATTTTTGCTCCCTAGCACTGAGAGCTATTCAGACACAAGGGATTTCTGTCCACCTTGCACAAGATTCTTCTGACATTCGTAAGTTGAATTCTACAGATTGGTCAGGTAGATTAATTTGAATAGCGACACTTGGGTCTTGTGTGCATACATCCTAAACACAACGTACATCTATTGCTCAAAATGTCAGAGTTCTGGCTAGTGAAGCCTGTTGTTGAATTCGGCAAAGAGTCCTGATATCGAGTGCTGCAATATGAAGTTTGCAATTTGGTTTTAGGTGATTATCGGCAGTGTGTTTCCTTATTACTGGTAGCAGAGTTTAAAGAGGATGCGGCACCTGTCTGTGAGATAGTATCAACTGTAGGAGGAAAGCGAGATGATGAAGGTAAAGATGCATGATAATGAGGAATGTATTGTGTACTTACTGAAGTTGCCAACACAATGTAAGTTGATTTCTTCATGAACTGCCCGAAACAGTAAGAGGATTAGTATTACGTGACCGCAAAACCCAAGGGACAACTTCGTGAGGGTGATTGCGCATGACCTGTTTTGAAGTTGTTTTGGGAGTTTTGTCCGTATGAAGATCTTATGGCTGGCTACGGGCCAGCACAAAGTTCAGGTGTACAATTTTCATAATGCAGCCCGACCAACACATGAAGGTGGCACCCGTGAGTGGGTATCTTCATCATTAATACAGATTCCAATCAGGATTGCTAAAATCGTCAGAGTTAAGCATAAGATTTCGTCACAGAATCTACTTTCAGTCAGTTGGAAATATTATTTATCCTAAGTAGGTGTTGTAAGTGATTTTCAATTGAATCAGTTAGCGCTTAACTCAGACATTTTTCACCTATCCTCAGCATACATCAGCCGTTAGGATTCGTTATGTTATGTGTTATACTTGTGGTGAGTAGTTCTTTGTTAGTCACCGATATCAAAACGATGTCTTCCGTGGGCAGTTTATAGAACGAAGACGATTTCACGGTGAGAACATTGGCATGTTGTAAATTATTCTTCATATGATGCTGGGAATCGGGTTGAAAGTAACATCGTTATGTAGTGTGCTAAGCGATTGATTAACAATAGCTTCTTACGAGATAAGTGAAAGCTATACACAATACCAATAAGATTACTGAGGAGTAGTTTTACCTTGACAAGTTGATTACAGAACGATTTCATAATTTCTCTATCAACTATAGTACTTCTGCCTAACTTAGTCAACGTGTGGTTCTTTTTCCCCACTGAAGTGTGCATTTTTTTTCTAATGTATATTTCTTGTTAATATTTTCTTCTTTTGAAGGCTAAATATGAATTAACTGAATCCAATTTGGCTGAAGCTCAAAAACGAATTATTGATCTACAAGATCAAGTTGGTAGACTACAAAATGATCTAGATAATGTTGAATCAGTCCAGGCTGATTTTGTTCGTCTATCTCAAAGTCTACAAGTGTGTTTGTGTTTGTTTTACTCTTATTTCATCATAGTTCTGTAGTTGTTGCTTTCTTATGCTTATATTATATTACTTTGACTGTGTTTTTTCATTGTAACTTTCCTCTCACTGGATAAGTGATTAGCTTCAATAATTAGAGAAGTACTATAACTACAATTAAGTAGACATGGAAGGATGCTCGTCGCTTAGTTACGCGAGAGTTCAGGACTCAATCCCCGGATGCTGGCCACTTACCGACAGTAAAGCCGGGATAGATGGGAAGATGGGCTTAAAACTAGTTAACTCCCCTTACTGATAAAAACAGCACCACCGTTACTGAAATTTCAACGCTTGAAGACCTTCGTTCCGCTTGAAATGATTTTAATTAGGCGGTATAGTCAATCAGTTCTACCTAGAAAATGCCTGGACAACATTTATGTTCCATAAAACTTTAGTTTTAAAAATCAGCCTACTTAAGTAGTATGTTTTCCTAAAGTAAAAATATTTATCATTGTTTTAACGGAAGTTTAAATAAATACACACTATGAGCTAATATTGTTTATTTGCTAGTCTCTGGCATCATTATTGTGTTTGAGAGTTGTTGGCTTTACACATCCCATGAAACTCAAGTCTACTGGGTTTCAGTTATAACATTTAACTTTCAGACTTTATATGAACTGTATTCACAAGTGGTTTAACAATGCTGCGAATATTCTGGTATTATTTACAGTAGATTGGAATGGCAGATGCGCATTTCATCGTTAAACTGCAAAAGTTACAAATCAAGAGACACAGTTTTCTTTATATTCGACTGAAAATATATGCGTCATTGGCTGTTATACACACGACTTACAGTCATCTGGTCTGGGACTTGACTCCCAACTGCGTAGCAGTATCAGCTCTCACACACATTGTGTGTATCACTGCATTGTACCGAACTAAAGTTTTCAAATTGTGTTGCTTCCATCAGAAGTTAGTTGTTATGATGCGACCTTTAAATTACGTCAACTGACATTTCACCACTTAACTCTTCAACGATTCATTGGTATTCATGACACGTTGTTCCACGAGAGAAGAAAGTGCTCAGCCTAATGATTCTTGAATATTACTCAGTTTCTTACTTCTGTTGGGCGAAACTGGGGAGGTAGTCTACTGACTCAGTTTTGACGATTTCCCTCGGAATTATCTTCATCCGCTTTCGATTCACATCAGGCAATGCTTTAGTAGTAGTAATAATTTTATAATTCCTAACTGTAAAATTATACTATATACTTTTCTCCTTTTAGGTCCAGCTAGAAAGATTACGACAACAAGACCAAGAGGTTCGTTGGGTTAACCCAGATGATGTCACTAATTGTTTTGGATGTAATTTCCTCTTCCCCACTGGAATTGGTAGTGGGTCGAAAAAGATCAACTGTCGACATTGTGGTAAAGTGCATTGTTCAGCCTGTATGAAGAATACTATGCCAGCTGGACCTTTTGGTCATGCAGCTGTTGTATGCGATGTGTGTCATACCTTATTGAATAAAAATATTGCACCATATTTTAGTAGTAGTACGCCATCCAATAATAGTCATAGAGAACAATCCTCTTCTTCTTCTCCAAGACGTTTCAGTTTATCATCTATGAATCCTCAGTCCCCTGTTCACTCATCATCAACTAATCTAGCCGCCAAACCTTCATAGTTTTTCTGTTTGCTTGGTGTTTGTTTTTCTCACTCCGTCAAATGTGTTTATCTTCTTTGTTTTGTTTTGTTTTTGTTTTTTTGAGTTCGTTGTCAAATTATCATATTTTTTATCCCTAGACTCCTTTTCATTTTCCTCTGTTTGTATCCTCCTCCTCCCCCTCCTATTCCCAGTGGCGATCGACACCGAATTTTCACCTAAGAAGTCAACAATTCTCGCATAATGTATTTTTCTTTATTTCTTAATGTTGTGCATAGTGTACACATGACCAACTGGTAACTTGTGTTTTTTTTTTACGATTTTCCTTCTGTGGAAACTGTCATACCCCTTATCCGTCCCATTCTACACCTGTGTATCTCAGTCCTCTTTCATCTGTATGTGTGCTGGAATAACGGTGTGACAGTGTCTTTGTATGCGTATTTTGTTATGACGTAGTATGTTTCTCTTCTTGCAGATCTCGCTTTATTTACCTACTTGTTTATTTATTTATTTATTTATTTACATGTTTTTACTCTGCTATCACAACACGCATATACACCACATATAAATATGTCTTTCAAATTAATGCTTCTACACTCATTTATTCATTTTGTTAGTGTGAGTTATACTACTTTATTGTTGTTCCAGTAATATTGGTGATTTTAAAGTGTCATATTTCCTTTTTTTAAACAGAAGTGATCAATAATATACACAGTATATATATACACTACAATGTTTTATGTTGTATTTTCTTTTCGCCTAGCAGAGATATTCACTGAGATGTTTTGATTTAAGGTGTATAAATAGCACTCTACTTACTGCTTTATGTTCATTGTGTATAGTTTTCTTAGTATATCATCTTTGGATGCGCAAACTCGTTGCTTCCTATTCGAGGGTGTGGTGTGTGTGAGTGTCTGGTGAGCGTACTTCCACTCCATTACCATTTCTGTGTTAGGCAGTAGGTTTTTTTTCAACCGGTTTGCCGATTGTCATAGTTTCTTGTTGCCTGCTTGCCCTTTCTGTCCGCCGTGTAATCCTCAGTATGCAGCAAAGGTGATTGATTGGTGTTAATGAAAGTCGTCAGTAGTCTGTCGGAAATACTAGGTAGTGCTATTTTCTATACGTACTGATACACTGTCTTGGAATTTACTTTTCGCCTGTTGAATTGTGCTTGCTAAAAGAATACATACACCATGGTTGATGAATATTCAACTTCTTGACAATTTGCTGCGTTTTAGACTACTTATTATTTAATTTCTTGGGTGAAAATGAAGCAAAGATCTAAATATGTTTGACAGGCTATTTCACTCCCATTTTCTGGAGAAGCAGTATTATTCATTTATTGAGTGTTTTATTTAATTCATTTACTTTCCCACTGGAACGTAGGGCTTCAAGCCAGAGCTTTGAAGTTTCGATGGCAGTGGTTTTATTTTTACGGGGTGGGATTACTAGTCTCACGTTCAACCTTTCCTCTTTGCGAGGCTTATTACCAGCTAAGCGAGGTTTGGGAGTGCATCGACCTGAGATCGAACCCCAGACCACCTGATTGGCTGGCGAGCATTCTACCTCTGTGCCATCAACAGGAGAAGCAGTATATTAATCAAATGTATTGCATCAACAGGCCTACAGAACGCATATTCACCCATTCGGCAATCTTTATCATCTGTGGCGCTGACATTATGTTCACCAACTCTTTATAGGGCGTTTGTATTGTGTAGCAGTTCTCTGCGTTCACGTTTAAGATTATGAAAGCTGAATGTTGAATATATTGTGGAAATACAATAGTTTATAATTACATAGGCATCTTAGTACAAGTGCTCACATTTGTGGAACACGATGAGTAACGTTGAGTCCAGACGTACACTGAGCTGTAAAAGGGGATCTTCACTGACTAGGATTTTTTGGTGCTACTGAAGACAGGTGAACTTCATAACTTATCTTACACAACTACACATTTTTTGCTTCTGATAAATAGGTCTTGTTCAAACTGCAGGGGTTTTCACGCAATGTCTAGCTCTCATCACCGGACCAGTAAATATGAAGGGTTTACACAGGAGAGTCGGAAAACCTTGAATCCAAACCGGTGTTATACAGAGAGTTCATAAATAACCAATGCATCAGATAAAGGTTTCTATCATCTGCGATCATAAGGACGCACCTCCTGACCTTGCTATTTGTTACAGAGTTTGAGTGATTTCCAAAAACAGTCACCCGCGTCAATCCAAGTGTCCTTGCAGTGTCTCACCTGTCACTTAAATTAGGAAACGAAAATTCTGTGAAAAGTTCAATCTCTTCCGTAGATATTCCCACCAATTACTTTGTGAACTATATATGCAAACACGTAATTCATTATCACCAATTTGTTTTTTTATTATTCTGATGTCTAGTTTTATTTCTATCGTCATCACATGTGTTTTAATGATTGCATTTATATTGGTTGCTTACCATTGCTGGAAATTTCATTTATCTGTACCCTTCTATGTCTTTAAATAGTTCCTTCCAGGAAACTGATCTACATTGCATTACCTACCTTAGCTATCCTGATATCTTGTGTACTATTTACTCTTGTTACTTACAGTGTTTGCAAATTGATGCAAATCGAACAACATACGGTGTTGCTTAGAACCATGAGAAACATCTGTACACAATAGTTTCAGTGGAAAGCTTCCAAAAAGTTCTCTACCTGTTACCTCGAAAAACGCATTTCATGTGGGCTTATTCGAGAACCCTATGGTATTGACGTTGAGCTTAATTGGTACCAGTGTTCTATTGAGCACTAGAACAGAAGCTGAACAGCATCCCCATTAATATTTATAAATTTATATTTGTAAAATCTCAGCGAAATTAAAATGATTAATTCCAACGTTTCGTTCGGCAATCTGGTCCGAACTTCTTTAGGGAAATTAATCAAAATTAACATAACAGAGGTTTATATATAAAAGGAACAACTCATGTTTTAAACTTTGTCCAATCATGATTCATGCAACAGGCATCAACATGTATAATAAATAAATAAATAAAATTGCATGTTTATATATAAAAGTACATCTCTTGTTTTAAATTGTTTGTCCAGTCATGTGAGTCAAGAAACAGCTATCAATAGGTATAATAAACAAAACAAAACAAAATTTTAATATATAAACCTCTGTTATTTTAATTCAATTATTTTCCCTGAAGAAGTTCGGACCAGATTGCCGAACGAAACGTTGGAGTTAATCATTTCAATTTCGCTGAGATTTTACAAACATAAATTTATAAATGTCTACTTCTCACTCAGCGCTCAATTATTTTGCAACTATCCGGTCAAATCTTGATCACAGTTCATATGAATCCCCATTAATAGTTGTTTATATTCTATTAGACTAGAATGTTATGTGAGGGTAATAAGCAACAAGTCTAAGGTTTGGTTTCTTGTCACATCTGCCAGCGCACTGAAGTCTCTATGCCACTAGGAATGAGTTCTATCACAAACAAGCGCCCCCGACAGATATCATAATGCTATCTGGAGAATTGAGTACAAATGTTCGGTTGCTAGGCTCAAAGAAGAGAGAGTCTGGACGATATCAGGTAAGAGAATGTGAACCATCCTCCGCAGCTTTGCTTAAACCGCAGTCTACTTCTTTCTAACCAGCATTATCGTCTGGAACAGTCTTCGCTGTAGAACTACTTGACATCCTTCCTCTACCGATCAAGGTGGGACTCAAATATATCGTAATTCAGTTTCGTATTTATGGTTTAGCTGCACACAGAACTGTTGCGCCTTCCGAAGTATTTGTCTGGATTCTGATAATGCTTAATAGTATGCCAAGTTTTTCTTACGTCGTAGTAGTGTTTTTAAAAGTCCTCAGTTAAAGGTTAACAGAAGCACATTGTTTGCATACCAGATTACATCAAATATGAGATGCAGGGTTATCATCCCTCCAGAGAGCAGGGCAAACTAAGATGCCCTTCAGATGGTGTGTAGAATTGTTTGCGGCTTAGAAGGAACTCCAGCTAACAAACACTGAGTTCCGAAGAGTCTCCTGTCACTTTTTGAAGCCTGTTGTTCCATATGGGTGAACAGCATATACTAGTTTGCGTTCAGCTCTTACGTGTAAAATCAAGTAACTCTTAAGAAAGAATCTTGAGGTCTGTGATCCAGAAGGCCTTAGCACTCGGTGCACTAACTATGCTGACTGGTGAATACATTACGAATATCGTTTTGGTGGCTTGCATACCTCTCATAGTTTGATAGCCCTAAAACTGTGTAGAGAATTCAGAGCGGCAGTTACCCCTTGGTGTGTCTGCATGGTATCGTGTGTGAGGTTCTAGAGATGATGCAACTTGTTGCCTCAGGAAGTCATCAGATGTGTAATTGACAAATATGTTTCCTTGTTCTTATGTCTTTCCACAGTAACTTGCTGTAAAGAAAGCTTCTTTGAATGCACTAGATAAGTGAGCTTGTCTGTTTTATTTTTTTGTTCTCCAACAGTCTCATATTTATATTCTTCACACTATTTGATTGTTTTGTTTGACCCTGTCGGTGTCCGTACTACATGAAGTTGGTGTTAAAATGAATAATAAATGGCTCAGTTTTAGTAGGGGGAGGGGGAACAGTTAGACAAAATTATCGTATGATGCCCACGAAGTCGGCAACTGTTAGTCGGATCCATTTATGAACGTGCTCATTATCTGGTTGCTAATTAGTGAGAAAAATTGTCCACAATGTGTGTCACTAGATGTGTTCAGCCTTTATCGATGAAATTCTGAAAATCACTACTTTTCATTAGTTAAGTCTGTTTTTAACACATTTTTCTCGATTATTGCATTATTCCATTACTTTGTGTATTGTTTCACAATGTAGTAACATTAATTGGTGGGTGTACTTTTGCGCAAAGTTCTAGACTGACTTGCATATTAGCTCGTCAGATATGATAATCGTTGTAATTACTATTCAAAACAAAAGATTGATTCTACTCACCTTTATCAGATTAACATTTTTAAGTTGATTGTCCTCGGTAGTTAGTGTCAACTTTGGCGAATATGACTCGTCCGACTGCCGAAATCGTTAAATTTAGTAACTAAGCTCTCTCTTAACTTACAATCTATCGAAATAATTGTTTGTACACTTTTCATGTACTGAATTTATCGAGTAAGAAAGCCGTGGTGGGTGGGGAGAGGGGCTGCTTCGATCCTCGACGTACCAATTTTGATATATATATATATATATATATATATATATACATAATCTGTAATTTTATTGGCTGCATCTGCACTACTCAGTGTTGTCAGGATCTATCATAATTATAAGCCGCATTAGGAACTGCATATGATTTATTGTGTAAGCGTATTATTACTATTAGTCATTGTTTGCGTTTCTTGTGGAACATAGGACTTCAGGGACACATATGCATTGCACTCGGTTATTTATTATCACTGGCTATACCACTACCAGCAATCTTTCATTTCCTCTTCATATAATCACCTCCAGGTCACTTTCGTACACTCGACTCGTCGCTTCGTATTCCGGTTCCACTCGAAAGCCTGACATGGGATACGAAAGGCTTACAGACCTCCTCAGTGTATTCCCAGTTCATCACCAGTTGATGTGATCACGAGCAGTAATTTTCCTCGAAATATTACCAAAAACAAAAATCTTAACATTGTGTTAAAATATTATTATAATGTATCTGATCTATTCCACAATGCGTCGGTGGCATAGCAGTTAGGACGCTCGCCGACCATGCACATG